AGTCTTTTGTCAAGGGATGTTAATACGCCTGGATAGGAGAATAGAAAGTGCAGGCTGACAATAGAGACAGACGTTTGAGAGCGTGTCGTCGAGTCTGTTTGATGACGTGTTCTCCAGTCGGCCTGAGAAGAAGCAATAGCAGTGTTCTGGACGGGGAGCTTGTGCTCACTCTAATGGCGTACGCCGCTGTTCGACTAAATGCTGGCGACGCTGTCCGAGGATAATTGCACACATTGTGCGAGCAAGTGCACACGCGAGCTGGTTGAAAGGTCATGAGCGCGTTGACAACTGAGAGCATTGTCCACATTATCGTTTGCAACAAAACTATCTCAACAGTTTTCCTGCAGTTAGATATTAATTACTTCTTCTGTGTAACTCAATTCATTAACGAATTATTCAATTACACTGCTTTGGTAATTTTATTGAACTTATTTATTAAATTGAAGGTTGTGAAATTATCCAAGGCAATGAACACATTCATTGAAAAGATGTTAATTTTGCAGTAATGAACGTCTTTCATAATATACTCCTCTTTCCCCATGTCAAGGTAGTGTATTCTAGTGATTTCAAATTTGTATCTTTGAAGTTCAATTCATAAGGTTGCAGAGTCAAAATCAAAAACACAATATTGCATTTAGAGATAAAAAAATATACCAATGATGAGTGTAAATATGCTATTTTCACGAAAGTTTGCAACATTTTTTTTCAATAGTGATAGCTCAAAAACTTCAAAGATTGCATTCAATTTCCACAAAACGTTTTGATACGATTTCATTGTGAATAACAACCTTTGTTTTCTGTTGCAGGTGTGTATGGGTTACACGCTCACTATACGGGACCAGTTCAATATAAGAATACAGGTAAGAATTTAAACTCATTTAATTTATTCGAAACCTTTGAGAAAGGATGTATACCTTTAAAGTATAAAAAGACCTTGCATAGTTTACTTTATTTTCACTTTTGGTTAAAGGAACTATTTTAAACTTCGCCAAAGACCATCCTTGGCCAAATCCTTCATAACCAAATAATCATCCAACTTAGAGAAAATACTTCAATTAGCTACCAGAAAAATGAGCAATTGACGGGGTTACTCATATTTAGAAATGAATACTTAACGTCATTGCCAAAAATTTAATTAACAATGTCATACATACTCTGCAAAACTAATGTAACTGATGAATCATACACATTATGCTAAAAATAGTATTTTACCTTTAGTAAAATATCAGATTGTTTTTATTTAACAGTGTAATAGACATTTTAACATTTTATGACTACAGATATATAACAATATAACGCAATTGATTCAAATATAATGCCACGGTCATCATACAGGAGATTAAGTACACTTCGGCAGTGCTTGTTGTGAACCGAGATGCAACTGTGAGTATATCTCTTTATAGTTTCAATGCTCCAATACCACCCACAAAGTCGATTTATCCAGTAGTGTAATTGAGACAAAGTATTCGCAGTTAATATTTTTATTGTCGATCTTAGACAAGCACATTCACAAATCAAAGAACAGTCTCATCTAGCAAGGAAATTCAAGCAAAACAAAACACAAGCAACTGGTGCTCATATACTGCAGTTCCCCTCAGTTTCGAAGTTGTATTTTCGGAGTTCGGATTTCTCAGGATGAACGTCCGACGAGTGTACAGAGGGGGCCAAATTATTACACTCAATATTTTTTCTCTGACTTAACGTATTATAACGAGTCCTGCAAAGCACGTGACAGTTTTAAGTGTAATGTTTGTTAATGTTATTGGAAATTTATACTCAGTTAATGGTACAATGAGGCACGACGTATACTTAGAGGTCCTAAAGAAACAATCATTTCCTCACACAAATGACCTGATTCTTTGATGCTTCTTGCGCAATTGATGGTCGCGGCAAATTCCATCGGGTACGTACTGTGCCTCCGAGCAGAAATTCACACAGTGTGAGACCCGTTGTAGCGAGCAGCGGCGTACGATAGTAACTCTTTCTGTATAACTAAAGTCAGTACTGAGCATTAAAAAGGAAAACAATAATTATTTCAACAAGAATATCGAAACATTTCCTATTTTTTATCCTTAGAGTGAATATATGCAAGATAACTCTCTCAGTATATTTTAACTATATCACATATTAATCTCAGGGTTATAATTATGACTCTATACTATTAATCTCGGGGCTCCTTACATAAATTAATTAAATATGTGAGCCAGAAAATTCGCCACTCTTACGACGTTACGGCGAATTCAATATTTTGTACTCAGGGATTCCTATATTTAACCGCATACAACCGCAACACTACTACTGATAAATAATACCACTTTTTACGACGAAATTATGAAGCGCAACGGTGACGTTACGCAGATTATTCCTTAGCAATAAACAAATACGATGAAACGATACAATACCCCTCCTTATGATTAAGTTTCTGGACAATAAAATCACATTCACCAAAAAAAAGGAACATTCTCAATTATTCCTTTCGTACGTGCGCAATCCGTGCAATTTTGTTACTGAATTATTTAAAGGGTCAGTCTTAAAAATAAAAATAAAAATATAAACAATTTTTGTAGTAAAATCTTCGGCTTTGTACATTTTTAAATTGTTATTTAAACATTAACGATTATTTAAACATTTCGATGATAATTTAAATTAATCACGCAACAAAAGCGAAAAGGCGCATTGTGATGATCAGTTGTTAATATGGCTTCAGATAAACAAAACCGAGTGTGTATTGAATTATAATTAAAAAACTCGCAGTTCGACCGTGCTGTTCGTACAAAATGTAAAAATATTGTGAAGTTTCTACGGAAATATTGTAAAGCCTAACAAAACAATGGGCATTTTGTTTCTGGTAAAATCTTGAGATATATATAAATATGAGTATGAAATTTGGGAGATGCGTGAAAAATAAGCGTGAATTGCACAAATAAAACGGTACTTTTAGGCTAGTTTCCAAAATATATTGTATTGCCAAAAGTTACTTAGAAGAGTTGATTACATAAAAGTTGCATTTCTAGGATGTCAGCCGTGTGCGTTCCACATCTATTTCTACTACTCAAGGAGCGTCCCTTGTGTGTCCCTTGTGTGTAACGGGAATTTGAAATTCACGGAACATGCCAAAATTGCAATTATCATATTACCTTACAAAATAATGCTAATGTCAAGTTATTTTTATTTGGGAATTATGTCATGTATTTGATGCATTTTCTTGTTTCTTGAGTTTAATAAATCGAATTCATAGTATGTAAGCTATTTGTTCTGTATACTGAGGGAGCGGGCACAAGTACTTAAAAGACTTGCGTCGGAATAAAGAATCCGTAAGGCCGGCAATGGCATGAAATATACTATTATGTTTTTTTTCAGGTCCATAAACAGGCAGTAATAATGTAATAAACCACAAATTAAATAATACGCTCACAAATGTAGGTATTTTTTTATTAAACATACCTTGCAAATTAATGAGTAAACGGCAACAATAGAGAGGAAACATTTGAATGAACCATCAATTACTTCGTGCACACCCCTGTGCAAACAAACCGCACGCAAAAGCCATCAGAAACGTCGGGAACGGTTACATTTGAGAGTCGAGTTCGACGGAAGGAAACCGGAGACGTGGAGAGCTTCGGAGGCGGGGCGTGTGAGTGTCGGGGAAGACGCGGTGGAGGGGGGGTGGAGGGAGTGGAGGGGGGTGGGAACCCGCGCTCTTTCGACGACGATGCCCGCAGCCTCGCGGCAAAAACTCCCCCTCCCCTCTCTCCGCCGCGCCCTGCCACGGCCCCCGCCGCGCTGCGGCGAGGCGCTCGGGTGGAAAGTCGCGCGGGATCGATAGGGGGCGCTGACGGTCGGTAATCTGGTGACAATTGAATGGCTCTGAGCTCCCCACCGGATCAAGATATTTGCGAGATATCTGAGCTATGGCTAAGCGACCGACTTTGCGGTGCCGAGTTTCCGAATATCGACTTTACAATAATTTTTCTTTAATAAAACATTTCCTCTCGACGCAGATATGGGATAAGTACTTGAGAATATATTTAGATTATGTTTCAGGGGGGAAAAGATTTGTGAAAAATGCATTGGACGAGAGATATTTGAAGAGTAATTTAGAACGAACAAGCTCTATTTTCAATATTTTATTTTATTATTTGTTTTTATGAATTGCCACAACGCCCCAATTCCGTTATATATCTCCTTTAAATATTCTCAAAAAATATTAGTATTGCACAGTAATAAAAAAATATACGTATTCTGAGTACGGATTAAATAACATAATTATTTGATAAGGAAGAGCAAAATGTTTCGAGAATTTCTTACTTTCCTTCAACTAATTCTGCTTTATGTACTTCTAAAAGGTAATGTAGTAATCATACTGGAGTTGACCTTTTGGGGAGAGGACTTTTTTCCGTCTCTGTGGGTAACGAGCACTAAAAGAGAAAGAAATGAAATGGGAGGAGATTGTTGCTTAAGTGCTTTCCGATACTTCCTCGGGGAAGTTCAGGGAATCACAGTTGTGTACTCAATAAGTTCGCAGACTGGAACTCTCAAGGAAGTTCGTAACTAGTCGACTTCGTCGCATCGATTTCCCGATTATCGACATAGTTTCTCCTTCGAGATATCGAATTGGCATCCGGACACGTCCTTAGATAATGTTCCTGGAGGAATTATCACATCAAGTGCCGGAGGGTAAGAAGAAATTAGACAGGAATTTGAGAGTCATATCTTTGTCTCCACTGCATCCTGACTTTGGATCAAGATTCCAGAACGTGTTTTAAAAATGAAAACTCGCATTCAGATATTACTCTTCTGAACGCGTTCTTAAAATTCTTGAAATATGGAAAGCCCATACATCAAGCTTCACAGAAAGCCCCTTTAGAGAAATAATGGCAAGTTTATTACAATAATATTTCAACGAAAATATTCTATTGAAACCACAGAGTTCAGGAGGAAAGTTTTAGGGAGAATAAACTTTGAAGTTCCAACTCACAGAGATGATCCGCAGTACTTACCAGTTCGATCCCTGCGGAGACCTTTTGGAACTACCTTCAGCAACGCCGGCTGTAACAGAAAAAATCATAAAATTATGAACAATTATTAATCGTTTTTGTTAATTATGAACAATTATAAATAATTGTTATTAATTATGAACCATAAGTACGATTTGTTGATAATATTTAAATTATTTTCAAATTATTTCCATTAAAATCGCGTATTTTTATAAAAATTTCTAATAAAAAACAGAATAGCAAATAAATGTAAACTACATTCTGTAATAGCAAAGCAACAATGAGATTATTTATTTTTAGTGTAATACAGTAAAGTAATGCGATCAGCATGTAAAATAGGTAGGTAGTTAAATATATTAAATTACTATACATTGAAATCATTATTTAAATTGTTATGAAGTTCAACACCAATTCAGATCTACTTTTGTTTTTTTAGAATACATCATATCATCTTCCTAATTAAGAAGATAATACCTTTTTGTTCTTAGGAATTTGCTCTTCAAAATCTTTTAAGAATTACATTTAAATTTACTTCCTGTTCGATTAGAGTTATCCACCAAATATTTGTCGTTTTTACAAATCAAAACCATTATCTTACTTAAGTCAACAGAAAATTAAGAATCAGTGACTTCCCGTAATTGCATCAATATCTCATAACGGAATAGCATTACATTATTCTTCTTTATATAACAAACCTGTGTCTTTTAAATTTTATTCGGTATACCATCGGTTATTCCACTGTGCTCCATTTCATTGCATCGCCATTTCTGTCTCATCTTATTAAGAATTGTTTTCTGCGCGAACTCGCTTTAAAAATCTCATATCACAAACCACAAATTATATTAGAAGTACATTGTTTTTTGCATTCGTTATAAATGCTTTGTGTTTGGCATTCTAACATTCTCAAAAATATTTCGGTTGCTGCCATATGGGTCAATTTCATCTGCAGACTCACGATGACTTGAATTTTGTTGTCAAGTAAAACATTTCCGGCGTTGTCAAGCAAAACATTTCCGGCAGAACATTAACATTTATCTTTCCGGACGAATATAATTGTGTCTCTCGAAGACCCGTCCTCCACTAAAAGGACAAGACTGTCTCCATAATTACGTCACCTGAAAATTAAGACGTGCCGTCTCTCGCTAATCACCTCCAATGTTGCGTCGGCGGCCCCTTGCAACTAAACGCGTTCGACTCCTCCTCCGCTCTGCAAAGCTCCCTTCGCCCGAGTTCGGCTTCATCCCTCGCCTGATACAATTAAGAACCGCCGGCCTGAGCTAAAATTCGTCTCGCTCCTAGCGCGGAATTAAGCACTTAATTATTTACTTTTCGAGCGCTTAATTACAACTTTTGAAAGACTCCTAATCAGTTAAGGCGGGGTGGGGCAACTCTCTTCCCGATGTTTGCAATCCGGTTCTTGTCACTGGAGATTTAGCGTCCCAGACACACGCAGGCGCGACTGTGGGGAGAGCGATGCAGCGGAGGGATACTAATGCATGTACTTATCCAACTCGTTAAATTCACAAAAGCACTCGGAAGGAAAATTACTCACGAGAAAATCATCGGTCGGGAATCGTAGATGGAATGGCATATTGTTAATACATTGTAGTGCTCGTGAAGTATTTGAACAAGATGATTTAAAGTAGGACGAAATAATGGAAACGAAATAATGGATTGTCAAGGCATCCTATACAAAGACGAGTTTCATTACTTCATCCTTGAATAATATCAACACCTCATCTACATTCCCACAATTGATTAAAATAGGTTGGGAAATTGAATCTTTACTCGGCAGTGCTCGCACGCGAACACAAGTCCGCACACAGGTTTTATTTTATCCCTCTTTTTATTACTCGTGACTTTGGAAGTTAAGAGATTTCAGAACTCTCCTTTGAACCATTGTTTTCACTCATTCTTTCGCTTTGGTCAATCAGCGTACTGGTTCGGGAGCAATCGGCAATTGCAGACATGAGCCCGACACGAGCGCTGGCTTTACAGTTGATCAGAAAATGTAAGAAAAGAATGGCTATTGGAATAAAGTGAATGAAATAGTTAAACTTATAAATGTAGTGACTTGTTTGTATGATTCTTAAATACATTGATAGATTTGGTGATATTACTTGTTTCCAAAATTTATGAATTAGTGCATTAACATTGAAATTCTTCTTACATGAAAGTGACAATATTGATCATATATTGTTATTATTTTTTTATAAAAGTATTTGTAACATTCCTAGGTATTTGCTATGTAGCTCCGTTTTATAACTTTTTTTTTAATTTCCGTTCTCTTCATCCTCTTTTTTGTTAATAGCAAACTCTCAGTTTTACTGTTAACTGGCCTTTTCCAAATCTAGCGCAACTACTGTACGGTTGGGTAGAAATACTTTATGGGAATAAACTTCAGATTAATGAAAAATATTTATTAAGTTAGTGTAATCAAATTCATCGTAATCACGCAAAAATGGTATTTTGTAACGCTGGAAAGGAATGCTTGTTGAATGATTGTTTCAATTTAGCAATTATTAAGGCTGAATTAAATTACTAGTCATTATTGGGGTAGGATAGAAATCTTGAGATGTCCAGAAATACCGTGTGAACTTTGTAAATCCGCTCCGCACCATCGTGTTATTCGTCGGGTGATGTGTAATGGTCTTCGCAATCTGTGCATCGGGAAAATACTTGTTTGAAACCCACAGATTCCTGCTTACTGCATACACACAGACAGGCAGTGAAAAATAGCGTAAATAGGTATTCAGCCTGCCGTAGCATCATGGTTGTTTATTTCATAACTGCTCGATTCAATTATTCAGAAATCAATTCAATATATTTCCGTGTTTTTATCAAGCACATTCATTCCAACTACGCTAACGCTTTTGTTTGGAATATTCATTATTTTCTCCGTGAAATTTCAAAAGGAAATAACTCAAATTGAGATCATTAACTCGAATAGAATTTATGAAACGAGATTAAGAATGACAACATAGGAGTAATTTCATCTTGAATCTGCTCCAAAGAATTGAATAATATCACAAAAGGGCTGTTCCACGAGAATATGAAAATACACAAAGTATACAGAGAACGTGAACACGAAACGTTTGTATACCTATTTTAAGCGCTCCCAACGTTCAATTGTGTCTCTTAATTTACGAGTATTTATTTCATGAAGCACGTATTGATAAAGTGCTTTTTGTATAGCGACATTCCTGGGAAGCAAGTTCTGTACACACATTTCGGGTTTGTTGGACTAAAGGCTAGCGTATCGGGCTGTTGTACCCAAGTTTGAGGGTTGAAACGAGATAGCAGTCGTGGATTTTTAAGGGCGACAAACTTTTTCATACGCCTTTCTTTGGAAAAGAAGTAAAGCCGGCTGACCCATGTATTAGATTTACTGCTTGTAAATCCTCAATCCCAAAAGAAGTCTCTGAGCTAAATTCAAATCGCCTGTTTCATCGCCCAAGATTATACTTTCTTTTTCAGCAGGACGATGAAAGAAGCGTAACAAAATTTGCGTGGTCAGACGGAACTGTGGCCATGATAGCACCTGAGTCTCGAGACGAACGCAATACCTAACTTCAATAAAACATGGAGATATTACAAATGTAGAAAAAATAGATAACTTTTCTTCATACAAAAAATAAATTATTTTGTTTACGATTTTGCTTAGTAAGGAACAAAATACCTGACATTTTCTAAACAGTAATTTTTTCAGAAATGTTTAGCTATGCTTCATCACCATCAGAGAATAGAATTAATACGTTTCAAGAATTTGAAATTTTGAGAACGTATTAATTTTCTTGAACAAGAAGATGACTCAAGATACCAAATAAATGTTTTTTAAATCTTAATTTTATAGATATAGTCACAATTTTCAGAATTGATGAATTGAAATACGAATCAAGTGTAACTGGCGAATGCATTTAAAATTCCTTTGGACTCATAAAACGATTCTCAACGTATTAGATTTTTGTAAAACAAAAAGTAATCATAACCTATGCCGCACACGGTAAAAAACTTCATAAAAATATTACAACACAAACGACACCATTTGTTTACGAAAACTGATATTTTCGGAAGCTTTCATCTGTGGAAATAAACAAACAAATTGCGTTACTGCTGGCCATACAATCTCTGACACCATCGGAAAGAAATATGGCGCAAACAGTTTTACTAATTTTGTGCAAGTCAAACATTCCCAAACGCAGTGAGTGGGAAAACAACACCTAAAATTGTCAGAGCCTCCGGAAGGTTAGGAATGCTATCATTTATGTACTGTTATTTTGGGAAGAGAGAGAGAGAGAGAGAGAGAGAGAGAGAGAGAGAGAGAGAGAGAGAGAGAGAGAGAGAGAAAGAGAAAGAGAGAGCGTGAGGGAGAGAGGGAGAGAGAAGGGAAAAGGATAGGACCAACGCGAGGAAATACGCTGCGAATTACAAAGGTCCGGAAATGCTTCGGAAAGCGGACGGCCACGTTGCCCGCAACGAAGTTGAAAGTGAGGCTACGCTACCCGATATTTAGCGGAGGTGGAACCTGAGGCACAGATTGATATTAAAATAGTTTCGCATATGGGAGCGCCATTTGCTGGCAGGAAGCTTTTTGCGACCAACGAAGAGGCACATTACCCGTCTCCTCGTTTGTCTCAAAGGGAAAAACATTTTGATGCAATGAGCAAAGTTGACATTTTTTACAAGTTTAGAATATGATTATACTGTATTCGAGTTATTTAATTGAAAAAATAGAACACCACCGTCTTCTCATTTAAATGCGAATGGTTCTTGTGTTGTTTTGCTGAGAAAAACTTAATTACAGTATAAACGTTTTTTTTTAAATATATCTTTTCTTCTTTAATAATCAGAAGGTTGTGCTGAAATTGAGCTGAATTGTTGAGGATATTTCGAAGAATTATTGTCGAAGAAAAATGTATTTTTTTAACGTGACGTGTGCGAAACATGGTTTCTCGTGCTTTTCCCGTGTATAGTTTGATTCTAACTAATAATGTGAAAAACATTACAAAGTGTGCGAGACACGTGAAAAAGAGTGTACTAAACATTTTTAGC